GCTTTTCTTGGTATCCTATCATCGTCCATTTCAATCACTTTTAGCCAATACTTTACAGAACGACACATAGCATTTACATGTAGTGGGTACCGACCGCATTCCCCATACACAATAGCATTTGGGGTTTGCAAACCAACGTTAAGAAACTTCTTACAAGCCATAATATGCACTTGTTCTATTTTTTTCAAATCTGTCTACACCCCATATTTCGGCACCATATAAAACATTAGGTTGAATCTGAGTATCAAATATTTTAAAGAACACTGAAGTGTCAACAATACCAATCTTCCGTAGATTGCGAAATATTTCCATTAAAGCTCGTTTGCCCCTTCATGCTAGATCTGAAACACATTGGTTCATCTTTGATGTATATGAGAATACAAACCCAAGATATCTATAGGAGTTGGCGGTTGAAACACGTTTGCCTTTATAGAACCATTTCTCATGAACAGATAACCCCCCTCCTCGTCTAAATACAACAACACTCGTTTTATCTAAATTTACCGTTAATCCATGTGAATCTGCAAACTTTTCAAGAATATTAAGTTGGTTCTGTAAACAAGAATAACATCATCGGCAAACAATAATAATAATATTTCAAACAAGTCAGGAAATAATTGTACGCCGTGTTTCCCATGTGATGAAACATCATCTGACAGTTCATTGATGAAAAAGGAAAATAATAGAGGGCTTAATATACAGCCTTGTTTAACTCCGTTAGGACAATCAAAATATTCTGTATAAATGTTATCATTACATCTCACACACGCTTTCACGGAGGCATAGATTCCCTTAAGTGCTCTCATCATCTTTCCACCCAAGCCTACATCGTACAGACACTCCCATAGCTTAAGATGATTTACTGAATCAAAGGCTTTTTTAAAATCCACTAAAGCAACGTATAATTTCCCTTTTCTTTTCGATAAACATTTGTTAACAATTGCATTCAACGTGAATATGTGGTCAGCAGGAGAATATCCCTGTCTAAAGCCTGCTTGTGTCTCGGGTAATTTACTTCTTATATTAGCCCAGTTTGTAAGTCTAGAGTTTAAGACACTTGTGTAAACCTTACTAATTGTACACGATAGAGATATCCCTCTAAAGTTATCTGGATTATTTTTGTTACCCCTCTTATGTAGTGGAAGGATAATAGCTTTCGTCCAGTTCTCAGGAAATAATCCAGAATCAAATAACTTATTGAACACATTTCGTAGGAAAGGAGTTATTACATTTTCACAACATTTTAACATTTCAATAACCACGTCGTCAACACCAGGGGATTTGCCATTCTTTAAACGATTTATAGGCTTGTGGATTTCTGAGTCTTTTATCGGCGACTCCAAAATACACTGGTCAATTTCAACAGGTATAAAATCTTCATCACATTGACATTCGACTTCAGCATGTAATACATCTGTGCACTGAAAAACGTTTGTAAAATGATCAAACCAGCACTCTTTACTTATGTTATTCTTTGTTTCCCTACGACCTGATATACTCCGTAACTCTTTCCAAAATGTGGTTGAATCAGATAGAGATAGCTTTAGTTTTGTTCGTGTCATAAATTGATAGTTTGATTTTGCTGTTCTGCAAACATGTTTATACTTGTTTCTCATTTTACAAAACATTAACTTATTTTCGTTAGATTTCTTCTCTTTGAATTTCCTCATGTATCGCCTCGCTTCCCGTTTTGCTCGTCTGCATTCACTATTATAAAACCCCGTATTTCGGGGTGAACTTTTAACACAAGGTACCTTCATACAGTCAGCGGCACAAAGAACAACATTAACAAATTTTTCGAGGGCAAGATTGAAGTCAAAAGTTAAAAGATCAATAAGCTCGTTGAAGGATGGACATAGATTTGTTATACTTCTTATTAACACATCACGCTTACGAGGGTTCCATTTATATTTGTGTGTTTTGGTGGAAAGATAATCATCACCTGGAGATACTTTAGGGAGAAATATGTCAAAATGTAGGCATACAGGCATATGTTTTGATTCATCTCTTGTATCCACAAACATGGATTGACAACAATTGTGAACATTAACTGAACCTATAGAATAATCGATTACGCTACATCTGCTATGTAAGTGAAACTACTCTCTTTGTCTCCAGTTGTCCTGCCGTTGAAGATATATAAATCATGAGTGAAACACAGTTCCAGTAGCTTACGACCAAAAGCGTTTACAAAACTTTCACACGACTGTCTCTTTTCTACTGGAACGGGTGGTTCATCAGGGAATGCTGCATTGTTGAGGCCACGTTGAGTTAGTGTCTCAGGTGGGTTATTTCCCCCGCCTAGACGGGCATTCAGGTCCCCACAGATGATGACCTCACAGTTTAAGTCACTATGCTCAATCAACCACTGGTCAACCAATTCAATGGCGGTTGCCTTTTCAGATGTTTTAATTAGCATACAACGTTCCAAAAGAAGTCAATAAATATAAAACAACTATTGAGTTATTCCACCCTTCAATTCCATTTCAAGGCTTTTGCCATGGAGACAAACGATTTCAACATTAAGAAAATAATATTGTAATAAATTCATAGATCATCGTAGAGCTATAGGTGATGTTTGTTGTTGCCACACACAGCAATATTCCAGCTACATGACGACGGTCTGTAAATAAGCGAGTCTTGACCAGACAATCCAATGATTGACATCATGAGCACAGATCCACGCAATTAGGATACGATGACATGCATCAACCAAGTCAGCAAGCCTGACCATCCGATCCCGTTAGTCGCCTCTAACGACAGCATAGTCGCCGTTCACGGTAAGCATCGGTTGCTGAAGACCTATTCTTCCCCGGATCTTCACAGGTCAGATATGTGCATACATGTTATACAAGCGCTGTGCATTCATAAGTCTTATAAGAAACAGGTGTACAACATTACAGGAATGTTTACCATTATTTCCTCAGGGGCGTTGGGGTGGTTCAGTGGTGAGAGCATTCACTCGTCAGACCACTGACCCTGGTTCGATTCCGCACATGCATGGGTAAAATCTTGGAAGTAAATTTCTAGTGTTCCCTTGTTTGATTTTGCGGAAATGTTGTTTCAAGGCGCGTAAAACTACACTCGCAGACACATCAGTAATCATTGAAGTATGGTTAAACTATGTTCGGGAGTTTCCTCCGTGGAAGCGAATGCAAGGAAACAAAGTCCCACTCTCACTGTTGTTGCGAAATGCCCTAAAGAAATGCTGAAGGCGTCTTTAAACATACATTTGATGTTTTTCCTAAATACAAGCATTGAATACAACATATTTCATATCAAACAAAAAACCTCACTCAATTACCCGTAGTTCAAAATTATCAACGCCAAAGGCTCTAAATACACATGGCGTGGCACTGTTGAGTGGCAACTATTTTCAGTGAGAGTGAGTATGGTTTTACGCTGCAATATTCCAGCACAGAGGGGGGACACCAGAAATGGGCGTCACACATTGTACCCATGTGGGAAATCGAAACCAGGTCTTCAGCGTGACGAGCAAACACATTTACCACTAGGCTACCCCACCGCCCCACTATTTTCAAAACTTCTTCAAATAATCACTTACATCAAATAAAACTGCAAGTGATTCTATTTACAGAGGTTATCTTATTCAGTTTGATAACTATCATTAAAAAGAAAACAACTCCTTCGCATTCACATTGTGTTCGTAATCACCATCCTTGTCACCATTACGACAGTGCCTTGACAATCATTGTCACCATCACGACAGTGCCTTGACAATCATTGCCACCATCACGACAGTGCCTTGACAATCATTGTCACGATGAAGACAGTGCCTTGACAATCATTGTCGCTATCACGACAGTGCCTTGACAATCATTGTCACGATGAAGACAGTGCCTTGACAATCATTGTCGCTATCACGACAGTGCCCTGACAATCACTGCCACCATCACGACAGTGCCTTGACAACCATTGTCACCATCACGACAGTGCCTTGACAATCATTGTCGCCATCACGACAATGCCTTGACAACCATTGTCACGACCACGAAAGAGCCTGGACAATCATTGTCACCATCAGGACAGTGCCTTGACAATCATTGTCACCATCACGACAGTGCCTTGACAATCATTGTCACCATCAGGACAGCGCCTTGACAATCATTGTCACCATCACGACAGTGCCTTGACAATCATTGTCACCATCACGACAATGCCCTGACAATCATTGTCACCATCAGGACAGCGCCTTGACAATCATTGTCACCATCACGACAGTGCTTTGACAATCATTGTCACCATCACGACAGTGCCTTGACAATCATTGCCACCATCACAACAGTGCCTTGACAATCATTGTCACCATCCAGACAGAGCCTTGACAATCATTGCCACCATCACTTCAGTGCCTTGACAATCATTGCCACCATCACGGGAGTGCCTTGACAATCATTGTCACCATCACGACAGTGCCTTGACAATCATTTTCACCATCACGGCAGTGCCTTGACAATTATTGCCACCATCACGACAGTGCCTTGACAATCATTGCCACCATCGCAACAGTGCCCTGACAATCATTGTCAACATCAGGAGAGCGCCTTGACAATCACTGTCACCATCACGACAGTGCCTTGACAATCAGTGTCACCATCACGACAGTGCCTTGACAATCATTGTCACCATCAGGACAGCGCCTTGACAATCATTGTCACCATGACGACAGTGCCTTGACAATCATTGCCATCATCACAACAGTGCCTTGACAATTATTGTCACCATCACGACAGTGCCTTGACAATCTTTATCACCATCACGACAGTGCCTTGACAATCATTGCCATCATCACAACAGTGCCTTGACAATTATTGTCACCATCCCGACAGTGCCTTGACAATCATTGCCACCATCACTTCAGTGCCTTGACAATCATTGCCACCATCACGGCAGTGCGTTGACAATCATTGTCATCATCACGACAGTGCCTTGACAATCATTGTCATCATCACGGCAGTGCCTTGACAATCATTGCCACCATCACAACATTGCCTTGACAATCATTGTCACCATCACGGCAGTGCCTTGACAATCATTGTCACCATCACAACAGTGCCTTGACAATCATTGTCACAATGACGAAAGTGCCTTGACTATCATTGTCACCATCACGACAGTGCCTTGACAATCATTGCCACCATCACGGCAGTGCCTTGACAATCATTGCCACCATCGCGACAGTGCCTTGACAATCATTGCTTTCTTCTCCTCTGTCATGTTGATGTCGCTGCCCACTACAAGTGTCATGCTGACAGTGAGGCCAGGTTCGTTATACACCCCGAACATCGGCCACAGTGGCTGACTAGAGTCAACATTGTCTACCGTCGATATCACTTTATTCTCCTTCACATCAATGAAGACAATCTTCTTCCTGGCGTCATCATAGACAACACCGTAATGCAGTGTGTGTGATGTCCCTGCTGTGTTGGGGAGAGTGTCAGGCAGACACAGCACATACTTCCCCTCCTTCCGTGTCCTCCTGCATATCCCGCCGTGTGTAGGACAGTGGGAGACGGTCATGCTATAGGAGCCGGGACTTCCACCTAGCCAAGGACACACGTCCCTCTGCTCCTCCCTGCACACACCAACCTCCAGGATGAGCGTGTACACTCTGAGTGTTTCATCCACGCTGACCCTAGATTTCATCTCCCAGTACTGGAGACAGCCTGCCCGGGGGATGGGGGCAGTGCTACATGTGCCCCAGTACTTCTTCAGTCTCCTCTCCCCTGCAGGTCTGGTGCCCGACCCTATGTTGACCAGGTCTCCTTCTGTGTTGATGTGGACTTCGGCCAGATTGACTCTGTCTTTGTCATACTTTAGGTGTAAACCTACAAAATATGAATGTAGTTTACATGCGAATGAAACATGAGACAACTATAGTGACAGTTTCGCAAGATATAATGGTATTTACATGCTTGTAATTGACAGCTAAGTACGCTGTCCTGATTTGTAAATAGCGTAATATAATCACATTGCAGTTGTACGAAATTAAACCTTATGTGTATTACATTTGGATCAATGATTTGTATTTACATTGGACTAACTGACAATACTTTACCACGAATGTAAATTTAGTTCTTAATAGGTCTGGTATATGTTTGTTTGTTTGTTGTTTAACGCCTCAATCCGCAATCCCCAATCCGCAATATCGCAGCTAGTTGGTGGTCTGTAACAAAATCTATTCAGGGCCAGACAATCCACTGATTGACATCATGAGCATCAATCCACGCAATTGCGAATCGATGACATGCATCAATCAAGTAAGCGAGCCTGACCACCCGATCCCGTTAGTCGCCTCTCACGACAAGCATGGTCGCCTCTTACGGCAAGCATGGGTTCCTGAAGACCTATTCTACCCCGAGATCTAGTGAATGGTTCGTAAGTTATTAAATGAATCAGAGCGGTAGACACAAGACATCAACATTCAGTGATCAGACTTCATAGAAATCTGAAAAAACAACAACTAAAAAAACAGGGATAAACTGACACGATAAACATTCAAAGGTCGAATAATCGCAATCACAGGCGTATACCGTCTTATACGTGGTATAACGAGGGACATGTAGATTGCATGTCAAACCATGATAAGATCACAGTGTCACCTGACCTGGTGTCGCAATGTCGGGGCTTGTGTACCCACGTGTCTCGGCGGGTTGACGTTGGGAGATAGTAGACAGGCAGCATTATCAGTACAGGACACAAACCATAACACAATAAACAAGGGACATTCTGTTAATTATGAGGAAGATCACCTCTACACTAAAATGAAAACAATGGCATCACTCCCCGCCATGGGGCACATTAGAATTTTGTTTGTTCATACAGTAGTAAATATTAAGTATAAAAAAGTCACATGAAGCCTCAAAAAGAGATGGTCACTGACGCCGCTTTATGTCATCAGAAACATTAATTAAATATGAAATTAATACACACAAAAGGCCACATCTCTAGAAAAAATAACTCGGTCTTGATAAGTATATCTTTGGACCCAACTAACGGGATAAGGTGGTCAGGCTCCCTGACTTGGTTGATGCATGTCATCGTATCTCAATTGCGTGGATCGATGCTCATGATGTCAATTACTGGATTGTCTGATCCAGAATCGATTCTTTACAGACCGCCGTCACATCGCTGGAATATTGTTGAGTGCGGCGTTAAGCAACAAATAAGCTAACTCCAGTATTTTCTGAGAAAACATGTCTCCATTGCGCACACTGTGCACCAAGTAAAATAACCTGGATCAAGGGCCAGAAGTCTGTAATCAGATAATTTATGGGACCAACTTTCGAACTCAGTCTTGACAAGTATCCTTTAGATTAGGCTGCAGTATTTCATTCGAGTGACTTCAGAAGTGTCTGTGAAAACTTTTCCCAATTGCACTAAGTATGAATTTAGTTGAACAAAACACGGAGCTTGGGCCATGACTCTCTAAAAGTATTAATGAGGAGACAAATTTTCGAACTCAGTCTGTGGAGACTTGCAAAGTTTCATTCATTAAGGTCTGTAGTTTCTGAGAAAACGTGTCCCAATTCACGCAGTATGTACAAAGTTGAAAAGCATAGAGCCAGGGCCATAACTTTGTAAAAAATGAATTTACGGCACCAATTTTTGAACCCATCTGAGGTTATGACCAGTAAAATCAGTGTATAAATTTCTTTTCTCTGTCTTAAATTGTTTTTGAGAAACTGTGTTCCCTTTGAGAAGCGGGCGGGCGGGCGGACGGACGGACGGACGGGCTCCGTTCCTATATCCCCCAACCCACCTCGTTGCGGGTGATAATACACTCCGTGACATCATCCTATCGTCAATTTTCAGGAAGAACTGCATGTAGCTAGGCTTGTATTTGCTGATGAGACCCCCGGGTCTTCTATGAAAATATATGATTACCAGATTTTTTAAGAAAAACATGTCTTCTTCATACCATCTTTACCCCTTCTGAAAACATTGATCCTTATTTTGTATTCGAACCCTCAAATGACGAGACAATGTCTAATTCTGCTTGTATTATTTGTCACTGAATCAGAAACAACTTAAGTTTTCCAGAATATTATAAGACAAGATAAGATAAGACTTCATTATCCCAAGGGAAATCTGTTTTGCACAGTTGATTAGTAATAAATATGCAAAAAAGAAAGTATATGATATTACAATACTAGTATGTACATAAGAAACTTAGATACTTACTAATATAACCACGAGTAAAAACATGTAGAAAATGAAACGTTCTGAATGTGACGACAAGGATTGGTATTTTAAAATATATGTATTTATGTCACAGCAATAGTAAACTTTAATAAAAGGGATAATAACAGGAAAAGATTTGTGTACAGCGAACAGTTCAAAAGTATTCAACATATAATCATTTAAAAGACTAATACTGGCTGGTGTGAATGATGTCCGGGCCCTGTTTGTTTCCAGTGGTATAATATTAAGTGGTCGCGAGAGAGGATTTGCAGTAAGAAATCAATGAAAGAATGTAAATAAAAGTGACAAACCCTTCCATAATCATAAAGGCAGAGGGGCGGTCGGGTAGCCTAGTAGTTAAGGCGTTAGCTCGTCACGCCGAAGACCCAGGTTCGATTCCCGACATGGGTACAATGTGTGAAGCCCATTTCTTGTGCCCCACCGTGATATTGATGGAATATTGCTAAAAGCGGCGTAAAACCACACTCACTCACTCACTCACTCATAAAGGCAGAGTCCATTGAACGATTTTAAGCAAGGTCTGAACTGAGGCACTTTTGAATTATTTGGGTTTGAGATTTGTCTACCCAAGTTTAAAACAAATAGACATGGACTTATATAATACAACTCTAAGGTTTCACTTGTCTGTAGTTATAAGGTGCCTGTTTCACATTTTCCTTAAGGGAAGATATTTTTCTAAATGTGTGTCAAAGGTGTTTGTGGTGATGACAGCAATGCCACTTCCTCAATGATGTCTACGACAATGTATCCTTGGTAACTTGTGCCTGTGCAGTGATGCAGTAGACTGAATGTGTAGGTATATATCCACTTAATGGATGATGTAAACTGAAGATCAAAAAAGTTGACATTGAATTTGATCAAATGTAAAATGAAAGCAAAGACCCAAAGAAATTCGTGACAAAAGCTGTGGCTAATAAATGGGTGGAAACATCAGCGGACACTGAGGTGGCATTGGGCCAAAGTCATCAATACCGCGTATGACCTCCCCTGGCGAGGATGGACGCCTCAATGTCTCATGGATGGCGTCAAACGTCAGATTACGATTGCCGGTGTCCCGGTATAAACTCTCCCCCGTACAAATTCTCCCCCCGGAGAGTTTATACCGGTACAGATTCTCCCCCGGAGAATCTGTTCTGAAATAAAATCTCCCCCGGGCGGATATGTTTCGCGCCCCCCTCAGTATAAAGTCTCCCCCCTGATTATTCGGTTTGTTGCAATGTCTTTCAGTATTATATTCTTTAAATAGTTATCTTTAATGTAAGGAGGGTTACTTTAAAAAATAGATTATGAAATATGGTCATAATGAATTGATATTTCAGCATATTTTATTTGGTAACTGTACCTTCCATCCTAAAATAATTATAAGACATAATCATACCAAACAAATTTGAATGAAATGACTTAATGTAACAAATACATGTACGGTTACTGTTGTAACAGAATTCAGAAATCTTATTAATCCTCGCAAACATTCGGTTTTACCACTAACTACGTAAAAACTGTCAACATATCCACGCGCGCCTCCAGCTCAGGCTGTCCGTTATACTCTGATTTAAGATCTAAAATATATTCCTTAATACAGGCTACGATTTGAAAATGGTATCAGTGTAATATCAGTGGCTAGAATATCATGGTGCAAGCAGGTTTCTGTTAAACATACAACATCATAACTATCTAATTCAGCACTGATAAAATCTACTTTGTCTTTAAGACTGCGTACGTTTAGATATATAATCTTTAAATCTGGACTATGCAAAGGTCCTTGATTCGGATGGATATCACCGCAGCCGAAGAGAAAAAGTAAAACTAAGAATGATAATCGGAAATTAGATAAGCAAAGTAACCCAAAATATAGAGAAATGTGTATCATCTTCCCGAAATGATAATTAGTAGAATAGATTTTTAAAAAAACCCACCCCAGCCTGTATTTAACATCAACCGGCATCGTCAAAGCAAAGTGTACATCTAATTGTTACAATCGGGCTGGCCGTGAATCTTAATGAAGAACACCTTGTTAAAAAGACACACCGAAACTGATTTGCATAACTGATGACCACAACCATCAAAATAGTAAAAATGATACAGTAAACCTCATACTGAAGAGAAAACAAGAAAAACACAGAGAAGTAAAATAGCACGTCATATAGAAATGAGATAAAGTAATCTGAGAAGGGATTCATACGTTATATACAACTTAAAAAAATAATATTATGAAAAACGAAAGGAAAAGTGCCCCCCCCCCCCCCAAAAGGAAAGAAAGAAAAATACCCCGCACAATCAATCAATATCAAAATCAACAAATAAAAGGAAACAACCACACACACACAAGTAACTAAATGTATATTTAGATAAATATATAACCCAGAACAAATAAAGGAGAGAAAAAAATAAATAAAAAATACATTTTTTTATTAAACAAATAAACATTCAAACCTTGAGGAATATGAAAAGCCAATGTGTAATACTAAAGCAAGAAGACACGATAAACTGTACCAACATGACAATGTTCCCCGATGTGCATGCTTTACCTGGGCTACATACGGGTGATCTAAGTTAGAAATATATGACTGATATAAATTCTTTATACACGGTAATATCGAATATTCTTGGATTATCTTTTTTT